CGAACATCGTCAGTGGCATGTGGATTTTCAGGGTGAAGCGGCCGCCGGGTTCTCCGCCTGTCTTCAAGGCGCGTTACGTTGCTCGAGGCTTCAGCCAGCGTGAGGGAGTCGACTTCTTCCAGACCTTCTCCCCCACCCCGAAGATGACCACTCTTCGGGTGCTGCTGCACATAGCCGCTCAGCGTGACTACGAGCTTCACTCTCTTGACTTCAGCACTGCTTTCTTGCAGGGTAGTCTGCACGAGGAGATCTGGCTGCGCCGCCCTCCTGGCTTCACTGGGTCGTTTCCTCCTGGTACCCAGTGGAGCCTCCGGCGGCCGGTCTACGGTCTCCGCCAGGCACCACGTGAGTGGCACGACACACTGAGGACGACGCTTGCGGCACTTGGGTTCGCGCCTTCTACTGCTGACCCGTCGCTGTTTCTGCGCACAGACACTTCGTTGCCGCCGTTCTACATCCTCGTGTACGTCGACGACTTGGTCTTTGCCACTGCTGACACTCAGGCTCTCGCCCACGTGAAGTCGGAGCTGCAGAAAAGACACACGTGCACAGACCTGGGTGAACTGACAAGCTACCTTGGCTTGCGGATCACCCGGGACAGAGCACGGCGCACCATTACCTTGACTCAGTCACACATGGTGCAGCAGGTCCTTCAGCGCTTCGGCTTCACGTACTCCTCGCCTCAGTCCACTCCTCTGCCTACCGGTCACTCGCTCTCAGCTCTGCCTTCGGATGAGTCCGTAGAGTCGAGTGGCCCGTATCCAGAGCTTGTGGGCTGCCTCATGTACCTGATGACCTGCACTCGTCCTGACCTTGCATACCCTCTTAGCATCCTCGCACGCTATGTCGCTCCTGGCCGTCACCGGAAGGAGCACATGGATGCCGCTAAGAGGGTGTTGCGCTACTTGTGCAGTACGTCGGGCATGGGGCTAGTGCTTGGAGGGCGAGACCGAGTTGTTCTCACAGGACACTCAGACGCTTCTTGGGCAGACGACCAGGCCACTCAGCGGTCGTCTCAGGGTTACACCTTCAGCCTTGGCTCCGGTTCAGTTTCTTGGCGTTCTACACGTTCTTCTTCAGTTCTCAGCTCCAGTTGTGAGGCTGAGATCTACGCCACAGCCATGGCGGCCCAGGAGCTGCGCTGGCTCACCTACCTGCTGACTGACTTGGGAGAGCGGCCTCGTTCTCCTCCAGTGCTGTACGTCGACAACAAGGCAGCCATTGCCTTGTGTGAGGAGCACAGACTGGAGCACAGAACAAAGCACATCGCTCTGCGGTACTTTCTGGCTCGAGAGCTGCAGCAGCGTGGTCAGCTTTGTCTGCGTTACGTGGCCACTCAGGCCAACACTGCTGACGTGTTCACCAAGGCGCTTCAGCCTTGTGACCATCAGCGCTTTTGTACTCTTCTAGGCCTTGTGCCTACTGGACCTCACTTGCTTACTTCTTGACTTTGTTTGTACTGTGAGCTCTATATATTTACCTGCATGCTTTCTCTTGCTAGGTTGTGATCACTGTACCTCTTGCTCTACTATCAAACTGCATGTGAACTGGTCTTGTGACCACTTGTTTGTGCTCGGAATTTGTGTGGTATCCCTTGAGATCCACCCTGAGCTTGCTTGTGCTTTGCTTTGCTCTGACTGGTCTTGTGACCCCTTGTTCTCCCCCACTTTGCCTATGGGGGTGTGTCAAACATTATATCTGTTGTTGTTGTTTAGGCTACAGTGGGTTAGCCTTTAGGGGGTACACAAATTCTAGGGTTGCATATTTGTACTCACATTCTTGCTAGTCATTCCCATTCCTGCCAGTTAGTTTCAACATGGGCATCGTAAAGGAATGGCATGCTCACACACCTTGGGGTCTGGTCTTGGTGGGCTTGCTGCTATTAATCCCTATGGCGATGGCGCCAGTGGTGGTGTTGTGGGCAATGGTGGAGCGGGAATTGGGTACCAGGCGTACCGCCTCCGAACCTGCACATACAGCACGAGCGACCTGTCAGAAACGAGATGCGGAGAGCGTCCCCGGGGGCAATCGAGTCTGCGAGTTTGCCTCGGACCGAGAATGGGTGTAATGCCTGTGGGCTACTGTTACATTCCCCTGACCCGGTGGTAGCGATGCATCACACGCGCACTAGAAAATGCATTTTCTGAGTAGGTCACACATATGGGAAAGGTAAAACCCCTAGTGGAAGCTCTTCCAGCACCGTCCCAAGGAGAAATAGTAATTATAATAATAATAAAAATAGAAAATAAAAGAACTTGTGAAAAAAAAAAAAAACGGATCACGCATGATAGAGTCCCAAGGCGATGCGCGAACCAGGAAGGGAAATGTGTGCGAGGGAGAGGCGGACTTACAACATACAAGAACGAGAATCACGGAAGCCAAGCAGAGAGCAGGAAGCCACGCCATTTTTGTCCTAGGACTGCTGCAAGCGTACTACGAGCCTATTCGAGCTGTTCCGATTGCGTTGCAGCGTCGATTGTCTCGCTCACGCACAGCCCTTCCGTTATATCCGTGGAACATCCGCTGTAATCCATCGGGGACACTACTATGACGGCGAAACACACATCACGGGAGTCCCTCCGCCCTTGGTTCGCCAGTGCGGCGGCTGGGGCGGCGGCGTTGACGTTTGACGAAACATTGTGTCGAATGCAGTTGCTCATTGAGTCAAACATTGTGAATTTTATGAGGAAATTCACGTCCAAACGGAACATTCTGGTGACATACCCATACTGTCAGACCCATTCCCCATTCGACCCTCGAGAGCTAAGTTGGCCGCTGTCGCCAACCATCCTTCCGAAGTTAGGGCGTGTGCTACGAGTTCGTTTACAGTTCATGTTGAGGGATGTAACCCTGTTTTTCGTTTGTAACCCTGAGAAATTCGACACTGTAGACAAGCTTTAGAAATGACGCGTTGTAGACGTCAAACGGTTCGTAATACACCCGTGAAAAATCCGCTCCATGGCACTTGCGATCACCTACCCTGTCCTGCATCTCGTTACCCCAAGCAAATATTTCGCCCAACCCACAATCGGGCGAAAACAACGACCATCGCAAAGCAGTCACGTGTCCCGTGCGAGCTCCGTCAAATTTGGCACAGTCGATTCGTAACCAGCCCATTCCAATTGCGAACCGGGGATTGTGTCCGCGTGGTGCAATTTCGGAGGGCGAGGGCTGACGCGCTGCATTTTTTTCTTTTTTTTTCCAAAATCAGCTAATGGGAGACGCCCTTAGAAACTCCTCACTGCACCTAAATTTGTATTTCACGTCGGTTTGAGTACACTGACACACCTCTCCTTTGCGGGTTACCACTTCTCTAAGAACCGACAATGAGTTTACAATACGTGGTAGTTGAGAACCGACAATCCACGGTGATGGTTTGTTTGTTCGTGATGACATGGTGGTGGTGGGAAATGTTGCCCGCGTACATGTAGCGCTGCTGAATGCAACAACACATGACGGTGGCATTTGTCGTGGCTTCCAGAAACCGAACCACAGGTGTGTTTGGGTGGGTGACCAGATAAACAGCTGTCGTTTTGGGTTGTTCGTTTGGGGAACTTAGGGCGTGTTAAATTCCCGCACAATTCCGAAAATTGGGTGTGGCCAAATTTTCGACGACCAAATGGTCGTCATATTTTTCGCGAACAACGACGAGGTGGCTGAATTAGGGTCGACTCTTTTACAGCCACCATTTACAGTTTTGGCGATTAGGGTTTTTATAAACTTTAACGTTTGGCCCTGCCAAATGTATACCGCCGCTTTAACAACTTTGGTGGTCGATTTGCAGGCCGCTTCGGAAAGTTGTCAAATTGGGGGTGGCCAAATTTTGCGACAGAGTCGCGCACATCGTACAGTCTGTCGCAACACTGTCGCAAGCAGGGTGCGACAAGTTGCGACTAGGTCGCAACGACACGACGGATGGGTGGCCGTTTTGAAGTCGACGCGACGACGACCAATTGGTCGACTTTTTGTCCGGCCATCAAATTCGTTATTTTTTTTCGAAACTAGCGAAAAATGCCACAAGATTGACGAGCTTCGTCATAGGGGTTACTTTCGCCACATCGGCTCGGCGTTTTGGAGCTGAAAATTCAATGTTGGCGATTTAACACGCCCTTACGGATGCATGTTGAATTCAGAAATGCTGGTTGCACACAATACACCTGAAGCGCGATTAAGTCCCCCATACTTGCCTTGCCCTTTGGGTTTTTACGTGCTTCTTGGATTTCGCAGGCTTCGTCAACGTCGCAGCTAGCAATAAATGGTTTACAAAAAAAAAAACTCAAATGTTACACGTTGACACTCTTACGTCGGTCTCTTCGTTACCATTGGTTTATCATCACTGCATTGACAATTGACGTCGGTTGCTTCGTTACCATTGGTTCATCATCACATGCAACTTGCTCGGGGGGCTTGTAAACTGGGTGAAACTTCCTGTCACCAGTTGTTCATGGGCAGGGAATCGACAGTTAGCAAGGCAAATTCGCGGGCAGCAGTTGAGCATCGTGTATACAGCACACTATGCTTCTCGCTACACTGAACCGCGTAAAAAAACTACAGTTCCTTGGCAGTATTCAGCATTTTGCGTACACCGAAACCAGTCAACCCTACCTAGCAGGCGGGTATTGGGACTGAGGTTCTCATAATGTATTTTTCCTAAATACCCTAACCAGCCATTCCAAAATGTTCCGGATCGCACTGGTTCCAAATCTCACTATAACGTAGTTGATAACACGCTTCTGGACGCGGTGAGTTTCTACTAATGAGGAATCCAGTATACTGAAATCCACAAATCGCATTGCACAAGCCTTTGAGGGAATTAGGACGTGGGCCCAATCGCCTTTGATCGCCTCGATCAAAGGCAATCAACAACTTCCTTAAAGCCTGGAAGGCAATTTCAGGCAATCGGGGGCAATCAGCTGATCGCGATCAGCTGATCGCCCCAACTCGATCAAGCGTCTCAACCAGCCCAATCAGAGGCAACCCCCTACAATCAGCAGCACACCATGTGGGGCTGGCAGCACGCCACGTGGGGCTGGCAGCACGCCACGTGGGGCTTGCAGCACACCACGTGGGGCTGGCAGAACACCACGTGGAGCACTGGAACGTACAGGTGCGTTCAAATGGCGTTACGCACATGAGAAGAGCATACACCAGGTGCAACACTGGCACAGGTGCAACACTGGCACAGGTGCAACACTGGCACAGGTGCAACACTGGCACAGGTGCAACACTGGCACAGGTGCAACACTGGCACAGGTGCAACACTGGCACAGGTGCAACACTGGCACAGGTGCAACACTGGCACAGGTGCAACACTGGCACAGGTGCAACACTGGCACAGGTGCAACACTGGCACAGGTGCAACACTGGCACAGGTGCAACACTGGCACAGGTGCAACACTGGCACAGGTGCAACACTGGCACAGGTGCAACACTGGCACAGGTGCAACACTGGCACAGGTGCAACACTGGCACAGGTGCAACACTGGCACAGGTGCAACACTGGCACAGGTGCAACACTGCAGTAGTTGCGGCAATACACACCAACATCTGAAATGCCTTAGTGATTTCGAATCGTCTTGCTTGTTCGACGAGGGGACTGCTTACTCAGAAACTGCTGCCACTGGCCAGGACACGGTCGCTGCAGGGGGAGGTGATGGAGGGGTATGAATGGGGCTGACTCCTCAGCTGTAGCCTTTTCCTTTTCCTTGTCTCCCTCCCCACTCGCTCTCCCACCTTCTCAGAAACTGCTGGCACTGCCCAAGACACGGTCGCTGCAGGGGGAGGTGATGGCGGGATATGAGGACGACTCTTGTGACTAAGGGGAGGCTGAATTCGGGGAGGGGGTGCTTGAAGAGAGGGTGCCTCAAGTGGGCGTAACTGGGAAAGAAGTGGCTGCAGATGGGCTGATTTGGGAGAGTAAGGTGGATGAGAGAAAGTAGCAGGAGGAGGCTGGAGAGACGGAGGTGAGGGTGAGGAGTCAAGGGGAAGGTGATGAAAGAGTGGGTGCTGAGGGTGCAGGGAGTGCACGGATAAACTCATTACAGACAGGTGCGTTAAGTCCACAGCAGGGCTGCTGTATGCATGCAGCTGAGTTCCTTGATTCGCGAGCGGGGCCTCCAGGTACCCACATGTGGTTGGGGGAGGCCGTGGAAGCATTTGGTGCCGCCCAACAGCAGATGATGTCAGCAGCAGGAGAGAAGGGAGGGCAGGGCAGAGCACCAGGAAGTGCGATGCGGAGCTTTAGCCGCTTCAGAAGGCTTGTGACATTTACGGAGCGGTCTCGGCGACAGGTGGGGCAGAGAGGGGAGGGCGGTGAGGAGATGGGTGAAGGGGTTGAAAGCAAGGAAGGGCGAGCGGAGGGAGGGGGCAGTGCAGCAGGGAGTGGGGGAGTGGGCGAGGCCTTCGGGAAGGGTGCAAGTGAAGAGATGAAAGGAAAGCAGGAGCAGCAAGAGCAGCAGTGGGGAACAGAGGAGAAGGGGGCAAGGCCGAGGCACAAGATGCAGATGAAGTCGACAGGAGGACAGCATGGCAGCGGTGGCAGGGAGGCGCGGGTGGCATATGAGTTCCTGTGGAATGACAGCCTGCTGGAGTCAGCAGCGAGTGAGTGCGAGACGTTCAAGCTACTACACCCGCAGCTGCAGTCCATCACCCACAACCCGGGCCTCTCCGGCCAGGAGTGCGTGCGACAGGTGAGAGCAGCAGCGCCAGGTGAGAGCAGCAGCGCCAGGTGAGAGCAGCAGCGCCAGGTGAGAGCAGCAGCGCCAGGTGAGAGCAGCAGCGCCAGGTGAGAGCAGCAGCGCCAGGTGAGAGCAGCAGCGCCAGGTGAGAGCAGCAGCGCCAGGTGAGAGCAGCAGCGCCAGGTGAGAGCAGCAGCGCCAGGTGAGAGCAGCAGCGCCAGGTGAGAGCAGCAGCGCCAGGTGAGAGCAGCAGCGCCAGGTGAGAGCAGCAGCGCCAGGTGAGAGCAGCAGCGCCAGGTGAGAGCAGCAGCGCCAGGTGAGAGCAGCAGCGCCAGGTGAGAGCAGCAGCGCCAGGTGAGAGCAGCAGCGCCAGGTGAGAGCAGCAGCGCCAGGCGAGACCGCAGCTGCCATGCCATCAAGTGCCCTGCACGCTGCTGCAGCCTCAGTAATGTGCGATCTACTACCGGTAAGTGTGCGCTGGTTTGATTTTGAAAGGTGCTCATTCACAGCCTGCAGTTGAGGGTTCATGTGGCAGGAAGGTAGCCTGATTTGCTACCTAGTCGGAAGGTAAGCAAGCATGCAACGAGGAGGTGCGCGATTTATGATATCAGCAATGCAAGCCGTGCGCAGTGTGGATCACGCTCTCTGTACCCTCTCTTTCCTCCTTAACACCCGCACATGGTCCGTTTAGAATTTGGGGTTTTGAAAGCCCTTTCTGGAGTATATGAATTGACAAAATAGTAGCTAAGACTAAGAAGCCATAGCTAGGTTTAGGGTACACGAAAGAGAAGTACAAGCAGTAGAAGAGGAAAGGTGATTGAACTAGAAAGAAGCGGAGTACAAATAGCAAGCCCAAAAGGGTTATACTCACTATTGAGTACCCCACTACAGACTAGACAAGCATTATGTTCTGACATGAATCCCCCCTCTTTAACCTGGTCCGTGTCTTCCCCCTCCTCCCTCTTGCAGGTGAAGCAGCTGCGTGTGATGATAGCAGAGGCTTTGGCGAGATGACCGGCCGGTTCGACCTCAACCACAGGGCTTACTTGCGAGATGCCCGCATTATCGGGGCTATGGTGCACTTCTTGGGGCACAGGGAGCTCCCTGATTGGTCCAGGGAGATTGATATGGATGTGGTGAGGGCTGAGGAAAGGATCAGGTTTGGGAGATTTAGACACAGGGATAAAGGTGGAGAGTAACTGTAATACCTATCCCGATGAATGTTAAGATTAAGAGAGGGCATTGAGTAAGACAGCAGAAGTCTTCAACTGACCTTGACATTGTGAATGTACATAAGATGATGAAAAAATGCATACGGTACATTTGCTTTGGTTTTACAATAACCCCTTTGCTGTGCAGTGTACACAAGGATGGAGTGCTGTGTGGCCGAAGCGAGCTGCCACTTGAACATACGCAAGTTGTGACCTGGCATGGCTCGATCAATCACATCTGTCCAATGCTTTTAAAGCCCGAGCCTGAAGACGCCAAATAGGAACACTGTGTAACCGTCTGAGTGTTGTCGCCACCTGGTGAACGTGACGCTACGTGATCGTCATAGCCTCTGATCAAGTTGGTAGAGGTCACTTGAAATTCAGGTGGTAGGTGACACATGTCGAGTGCGTTTTTAGGTGGTTGAGTCTCTGGTATCGGTGGGCTGGGCGGGGCGCTGCGCTTCCTAGACTTGCGTGGTGTGGTCGCTGGGGAACAAGATGCCAAGTTTTGTTTGTTGTTGGTGCTTCTTCAAGATTCCTGAAGTAGAATAATGTACTATGCGAAACACCGTGGGGCATTCCACTTTCGCCACCTGTTTCAGGCGAACTTTGCTCTCGTCACCCTTCGCCCACCCAGTTTCAAGCTCAGTATATATGAACCCTTGCCATTCTAGACTCGGGCTTTAATCCAACACGCGCAATTATACCAATTTATCATTGCTTTTCACATGTGATGTTTCAATATGTGGTCATGGGTGTCTTCTTAAAAGAATGCGTGCAGCAGCAGCAGCGGCACCAAAGCCATTGTCAATGTTCACAACCGTGACGCCCGGCGCACATGCGTTGAGCGCTGCCAGCAGTGCTGCCACGCCGCCAAATGATGCTCCGTACCCCACACTGCAGGCGTGTGAGGTAGGAGAAATGCGGATTGTGAGAGGCAGAAGGAATGCAGGGGTTGAGAGAGGGGAATGCAGGGGGTGTGAGAGAGGGGGAATGCAGGGGGTGTGAGAGAGGGGGAATGCAGGGGGTGTGAGAGAGGGGGAATGCAGGGGGTGTGAGAGAGGGGGAACGCAGGGGGTGGGAGTGGAGAATGCAGGGTGTGAGAGTGAGAAGGAATGCAGGGAATGAGAGAGAGGGGAATGCAGTTGGTGGGAATGCAGGGTGTGAGAGAGAGGAATGCAAGAGGTGAGTGAGGGGGAATGCAGAGCGTGAGAGAGAGGTTGCACCTGGTGGGCACTGCAATGACTGGCATGTTGCACCTGGTGGGCACTGCAATGACTGGCATGTTGCACCTGGTGGGCACTGCAATGACTGGCATGTTGCACCTGGTGGGCACTGCAATGACTGGCATGTTGCACCTGGTGGGCACTGCAATGACTGGCATGTTGCACCTGGTGGGCACTGCAATGACTGGCATGTTGCACCTGGTGGGCACTGCAATGACTGGCATGTTGCACCTGGTGGGCACTGCAATGACTGGCATGTTGCACCTGGTGGGCACTGCAATGACTGGCATGTTGCACCTGGTGGGCACTGCAATGACTGGCATGTTGCACCTGGTGGGCACTGCAATGACTGGCATGTTGCACCTGGTGGGCACTGCAATGACTGGCATGTTGCACCTGGTGGGCACTGCAATGACTGGCATGTTGCACCTGGTGGGCACTGCAATGACTGGCATGTTGCACCTGGTGGGCACTGCAATGACTGGCATGTTGCACCTGGTGGGCACTGCAATGACTGGCATGTTGCACCTGGTGGGCACTGCAATGACTGGCATGTTGCACCTGGTGGGCACTGCAATGACTGGCATGTTGCACCTGGTGGGCACTGCAATGACTGGCATGTTGCACCTGGTGGGCACTGCAATGACTGGCATGTTGCACCTGGTGGGCACTGCAATGACTGGCATGTTGCACCTGGTGGGCACTGCAATGACTGGCATGTTGCACCTGGTGGGCACTGCAATGACTGGCATGTTGCACCTGGTGGGCACTGCAATGACTGGCATGTTGCACCTGGTGGGCACTGCAATGACTGGCATGTTGCACCTGGTGGGCACTGCAATGACTGGCATGTTGCACCTGGTGGGCACTGCAATGACTGGCATGTTGCACCTGGTGGGCACTGCAATGACTGGCATGTTGCACCTGGTGGGCACTGCAATGACTGGCATGTTGCACCTGGTGGGCACTGCAATGACTGGCATGTTGCACCTGGTGGGCACTGCAATGACTGGCATGTTGCACCTGGTGGGCACTGCAATGACTGGCATGTTGCACCTGGTGGGCACTGCAATGACTGGCATGTTGCACCTGGTGGGCACTGCAATGACTGGCATGTTGCACCTGGTGGGCACTGCAATGACTGGCATGTTGCACCTGGTGGGCACTGCAATGACTGGCATGTTGCACCTGGTGGGCACTGCAATGACTGGCATGTTGCACCTGGTGGGCACTGCAATGACTGGCATGTTGCACCTGGTGGGCACTGCAATGACTGGCATGTTGCACCTGGTGGGCACTGCAATGACTGGCATGTTGCACCTGGTGGGCACTGCAATGACTGGCATGTTGCACCTGGTGGGCACTGCAATGACTGGCATGTTGCACCTGGTGGGCACTGCAATGACTGGCATGTTGCACCTGGTGGGCACTGCAATGACTGGCATGTTGCACCTGGTGGGCACTGCAATGACTGGCATGTTGCACCTGGTGGGCACTGCAATGACTGGCATGTTGCACCTGGTGGGCACTGCAATGACTGGCATGTTGCACCTGGTGGGCACTGCAATGACTGGCATGTTGCACCTGGTGGGCACTGCAATGACTGGCATGTTGCACCTGGTGGGCACTGCAATGACTGGCATGTTGCACCTGGTGGGCACTGCAATGACTGGCATGTTGCACCTGGTGGGCACTGCAATGACTGGCATGTTGCACCTGGTGGGCACTGCAATGACTGGCATGTTGCACCTGGTGGGCACTGCAATGACTGGCATGTTGCACCTGGTGGGCACTGCAATGACTGGCATGTTGCACCTGGTGGGCACTGCAATGACTGGCATGTTGCACCTGGTGGGCACTGCAATGACTGGCATGTTGCACCTGGTGGGCACTGCAATGACTGGCATGTTGCACCTGGTGGGCACTGCAATGACTGGCATGTTGCACCTGGTGGGCACTGCAATGACTGGCATGTTGCACCTGGTGGGCACTGCAATGACTGGCATGTTGCACCTGGTGGGCACTGCAATGACTGGCATGTTGCACCTGGTGGGCACTGCAATGACTGGCATGTTGCACCTGGTGGGCACTGCAATGACTGGCATGTTGCACCTGGTGGGCACTGCAATGACTGGCATGTTGCACCTGGTGGGCACTGCAATGACTGGCATGTTGCACCTGGTGGGCACTGCAATGACTGGCATGTTGCACCTGGTGGGCACTGCAATGACTGGCATGTTGCACCTGGTGGGCACTGCAATGACTGGCATGTTGCACCTGGTGGGCACTGCAATGACTGGCATGTTGCACCTGGTGGGCACTGCAATGACTGGCATGTTGCACCTGGTGGGCACTGCAATGACTGGCATGTTGCACCTGGTGGGCACTGCAATGACTGGCATGTTGCACCTGGTGGGCACTGCAATGACTGGCATGTTGCACCTGGTGGGCACTGCAATGACTGGCATGTTGCACCTGGTGGGCACTGCAATGACTGGCATGTTGCACCTGGTGGGCACTGCAATGACTGGCATGTTGCACCTGGTGGGCACTGCAATGACTGGCATGTTGCACCTGGTGGGCACTGCAATGACTGGCATGTTGCACCTGGTGGGCACTGCAATGACTGGCATGTTGCACCTGGTGGGCACTGCAATGACTGGCATGTTGCACCTGGTGGGCACTGCAATGACTGGCATGTTGCACCTGGTGGGCACTGCAATGACTGGCATGTTGCACCTGGTGGGCACTGCAATGACTGGCATGTTGCACCTGGTGGGCACTGCAATGACTGGCATGTTGCACCTGGTGGGCACTGCAATGACTGGCATGTTGCACCTGGTGGGCACTGCAATGACTGGCATGTTGCACCTGGTGGGCACTGCAATGACTGGCATGTTGCACCTGGTGGGCACTGCAATGACTGGCATGTTGCACCTGGTGGGCACTGCAATGACTGGCATGTTGCACCTGGTGGGCACTGCAATGACTGGCATGTTGCACCTGGTGGGCACTGCAATGACTGGCATGTTGCACCTGGTGGGCACTGCAATGACTGGCATGTTGCACCTGGTGGGCACTGCAATGACTGGCATGTTGCACCTGGTGGGCACTGCAATGACTGGCATGTTGCACCTGGTGGGCACTGCAATGACTGGCATGTTGCACCTGGTGGGCACTGCAATGACTGGCATGTTGCACCTGGTGGGCACTGCAATGACTGGCATGTTGCACCTGGTGGGCACTGCAATGACTGGCATGTTGCACCTGGTGGGCACTGCAATGACTGGCATGTTGCACCTGGTGGGCACTGCAATGACTGGCATGTTGCACCTGGTGGGCACTGCAATGACTGGCATGTTGCACCTGGTGGGCACTGCAATGACTGGCATGTTGCACCTGGTGGGCACTGCAATGACTGGCATGTTGCACCTGGTGGGCACTGCAATGACTGGCATGTTGCACCTGGTGGGCACTGCAATGACTGGCATGTTGCACCTGGTGGGCACTGCAATGACTGGCATGTTGCACCTGGTGGGCACTGCAATGACTGGCATGTTGCACCTGGTGGGCACTGCAATGACTGGCATGTTGCACCTGGTGGGCACTGCAATGACTGGCATGTTGCACCTGGTGGGCACTGCAATGACTGGCATGTTGCACCTGGTGGGCACTGCAATGACTGGCATGTTGCACCTGGTGGGCACTGCAATGACTGGCATGTTGCACCTGGTGGGCACTGCAATGACTGGCATGTTGCACCTGGTGGGCACTGCAATGACTGGCATGTTGCACCTGGTGGGCACTGCAATGACTGGCATGTTGCACCTGGTGGGCACTGCAATGACTGGCATGTTGCACCTGGTGGGCACTGCAATGACTGGCATGTTGCACCTGGTGGGCACTGCAATGACTGGCATGTTGCACCTGGTGGGCACTGCAATGACTGGCATGTTGCACCTGGTGGGCACTGCAATGACTGGCATGTTGCACCTGGTGGGCACTGCAATGACTGGCATGTTGCACCTGGTGGGCACTGCAATGACTGGCATGTTGCACCTGGTGGGCACTGCAATGACTGGCATGTTGCACCTGGTGGGCACTGCAATGACTGGCATGTTGCACCTGGTGGGCACTGCAATGACTGGCATGTTGCACCTGGTGGGCACTGCAATGACTGGCATGTTGCACCTGGTGGGCACTGCAATGACTGGCATGTTGCACCTGGTGGGCACTGCAATGACTGGCATGTTGCACCTGGTGGGCACTGCAATGACTGGCATGTTGCACCTGGTGGGCACTGCAATGACTGGCATGTTGCACCTGGTGGGCACTGCAATGACTGGCATGTTGCACCTGGTGGGCACTGCAATGACTGGCATGTTGCACCTGGTGGGCACTGCAATGACTGGCATGTTGCACCTGGTGGGCACTGCAATGACTGGCATGTTGCACCTGGTGGGCACTGCAATGACTGGCATGTTGCACCTGGTGGGCACTGCAATGACTGGCATGTTGCACCTGGTGGGCACTGCAATGACTGGCATGTTGCACCTGGTGGGCACTGCAATGACTGGCATGTTGCACCTGGTGGGCACTGCAATGACTGGCATGTTGCACCTGGTGGGCACTGCAATGACTGGCATGTTGCACCTGGTGGGCACTGCAATGACTGGCATGTTGCACCTGGTGGGCACTGCAATGACTGGCATGTTGCACCTGGTGGGCACTGCAATGACTGGCATGTTGCACCTGGTGGGCACTGCAATGACTGGCATGTTGCACCTGGTGGGCACTGCAATGACTGGCATGTTGCACCTGGTGGGCACTGCAATGACTGGCATGTTGCACCTGGTGGGCACTGCAATGACTGGCATGTTGCACCTGGTGGGCACTGCAATGACTGGCATGTTGCACCTGGTGGGCACTGCAATGACTGGCATGTTGCACCTGGTGGGCACTGCAATGACTGGCATGTTGCACCTGGTGGGCACTGCAATGACTGGCATGTTGCACCTGGTGGGCACTGCAATGACTGGCATGTTGCACCTGGTGGGCACTGCAATGACTGGCATGTTGCACCTGGTGGGCACTGCAATGACTGGCATGTTGCACCTGGTGGGCACTGCAATGACTGGCATGTTGCACCTGGTGGGCACTGCAATGACTGGCATGTTGCACCTGGTGGGCACTGCAATGACTGGCATGTTGCACCTGGTGGGCACTGCAATGACTGGCATGTTGCACCTGGTGGGCACTGCAATGACTGGCATGTTGCACCTGGTGGGCACTGCAATGACTGGCATGTTGCACCTGGTGGGCACTGCAATGACTGGCATGTTGCACCTGGTGGGCACTGCAATGACTGGCATGTTGCACCTGGTGGGCACTGCAATGACTGGCATGTTGCACCTGGTGGGCACTGCAATGACTGGCATGTTGCACCTGGTGGGCACTGCAATGACTGGCATGTTGCACCTGGTGGGCACTGCAATGACTGGCATGTTGCACCTGGTGGGCACTGCAATGACTGGCATGTTGCACCTGGTGGGCACTGCAATGACTGGCATGTTGCACCTGGTGGGCACTGCAATGACTGGCATGTTGCACCTGGTGGGCACTGCAATGACTGGCATGTTGCACCTGGTGGGCACTGCAATGACTGGCATGTTGCACCTGGTGGGCACTGCAATGACTGGCATGTTGCACCTGGTGGGCACTGCAATGACTGGCATGTTGCACCTGGTGGGCACTGCAATGACTGGCATGTTGCACCTGGTGGGCACTGCAATGACTGGCATGTTGCACCTGGTGGGCACTGCAATGACTGGCATGTTGCACCTGGTGGGCACTGCAATGACTGGCATGTTGCACCTGGTGGGCACTGCAATGACTGGCATGTTGCACCTGGTGGGCACTGCAATGACTGGCATGTTGCACCTGGTGGGCACTGCAATGACTGGCATGTTGCACCTGGTGGGCACTGCAATGACTGGCATGTTGCACCTGGTGGGCACTGCAATGACTGGCATGTTGCACCTGGTGGGCACTGCAATGACTGGCATGTTGCACCTGGTGGGCACTGCAATGACTGGCATGTTGCACCTGGTGGGCACTGCAATGACTGGCATGTTGCACCTGGTGGGCACTGCAATGACTGGCATGTTGCACCTGGTGGGCACTGCAATGACTGGCATGTTGCACCTGGTGGGCACTGCAATGACTGGCATGTTGCACCTGGTGGGCACTGCAATGACTGGCATGTTGCACCTGGTGGGCACTGCAATGACTGGCATGTTGCACCTGGTGGGCACTGCAATGACTGGCATGTTGCACCTGGTGGGCACTGCAATGACTGGCATGTTGCACCTGGTGGGCACTGCAATGACTGGCATGTTGCACCTGGTGGGCACTGCAATGACTGGCATGTTGCACCTGGTGGGCACTGCAATGACTGGCATGTTGCACCTGGTGGGCACTGCAATGACTGGCATGTTGCACCTGGTGGGCACTGCAATGACTGGCATGTTGCACCTGGTGGGCACTGCAATGACTGGCATGTTGCACCTGGTGGGCACTGCAATGACTGGCATGTTGCACCTGGTGGGCACTGCAATGACTGGCATGTTGCACCTGGTGGGCACTGCAATGACTGGCATGTTGCACCTGGTGGGCACTGCAATGACTGGCATGTTGCACCTGGTGGGCACTGCAATGACTGGCATGTTGCACCTGGTGGGCACTGCAATGACTGGCATGTTGCACCTGGTGGGCACTGCAATGACTGGCATGTTGCACCTGGTGGGCACTGCAATGACTGGCATGTTGCACCTGGTGGGCACTGCAATGACTGGCATGTTGCACCTGGTGGGCACTGCAATGACTGGCATGTTGCACCTGGTGGGCACTGCAATGACTGGCATGTTGCACCTGGTGGGCACTGCAATGACTGGCATGTTGCACCTGGTGGGCACTGCAATGACTGGCATGTTGCACCTGGTGGGCACTGCAATGACTGGCATGTTGCACCTGGTGGGCACTGCAATGACTGGCATGTTGCACCTGGTGGGCACTGCAATGACTGGCATGTTGCACCTGGTGGGCACTGCAATGACTGGCATGTTGCACCTGGTGGGCACTGCAATGACTGGCATGTTGCACCTGGTGGGCACTGCAATGACTGGCATGTTGCACCTGGTGGGCACTGCAATGACTGGCATGTTGCACCTGGTGGGCACTGCAATGACTGGCATGTTGCACCTGGTGGGCACTGCAATGACTGGCATGTTGCACCTGGTGGGCACTGCAATGACTGGCATGTTGCACCTGGTGGGCACTGCAATGACTGGCATGTTGCACCTGGTGGGCACTGCAATGACTGGCATGTTGCACCTGGTGGGCACTGCAATGACTGGCATGTTGCACCTGGTGGGCACTGCAATGACTGGCATGTTGCACCTGGTGGGCACTGCAATGACTGGCATGTTGCACCTGGTGGGCACTGCAATGACTGGCATGTTGCACCTGGTGGGCACTGCAATGACTGGCATGTTGCACCTGGTGGGCACTGCAATGACTGGCATGTTGCACCTGGTGGGCACTGCAATGACTGGCATGTTGCACCTGGTGGGCACTGCAATGACTGGCATGTTGCACCTGGTGGGCACTGCAATGACTGGCATGTTGCACCTGGTGGGCACTGCAATGACTGGCATGTTGCACCTGGTGGGCACTGCAATGACTGGCATGTTGCACCTGGTGGGCACTGCAATGACTGGCATGTTGCACCTGGTGGGCACTGCAATGACTGGCATGTTGCACCTGGTGGGCACTGCAATGACTGGCATGTTGCACCTGGTGGGCACTGCAATGACTGGCATGTTGCACCTGGTGGGCACTGCAATGACTGGCATGTTGCACCTGGTGGGCACTGCAATGACTGGCATGTTGCACCTGGTGGGCACTGCAATGACTGGCATGTTGCACCTGGTGGGCACTGCAATGACTGGCATGTTGCACCTGGTGGGCACTGCAATGACTGGCATGTTGCACCTGGTGGGCACTGCAATGACTGGCATGTTGCACCTGGTGGGCACTGCAATGACTGGCATGTTGCACCTGGTGGGCACTGCAATGACTGGCATGTTGCACCTGGTGGGCACTGCAATGACTGGCATGTTGCACCTGGTGGGCACTGCAATGACTGGCATGTTGCACCTGGTGGGCACTGCAATGACTGGCATGTTGCACCTGGTGGGCACTGCAATGACTGGCATGTTGCACCTGGTGGGCACTGCAATGACTGGCATGTTGCACCTGGTGGGCACTGCAATGACTGGCATGTTGCACCTGGTGGGCACTGCAATGACTGGCATGTTGCACCTGGTGGGCACTGCAATGACTGGCATGTTGCACCTGGTGGGCACTGCAATGACTGGCATGTTGCACCTGGTGGGCACTGCAATGACTGGCATGTTGCACCTGGTGGGCACTGCAATGACTGGCATGTTGCACCTGGTGGGCACTGCAATGACTGGCATGTTGCACCTGGTGGGCACTGCAATGACTGGCATGTTGCACCTGGTGGGCACTGCAATGACTGGCATGTTGCACCTGGTGGGCACTGCAATGACTGGCATGTTGCACCTGGTGGGCACTGCAATGACTGGCATGTTGCACCTGGTGGGCACTGCAATGACTGGCATGTTGCACCTGGTGGGCACTGCAATGACTGGCATGTTGCACCTGGTGGGCACTGCAATGACTGGCATGTTGCACCTGGTGGGCACTGCAATGACTGGCATGTTGCACCTGGTGGGCACTGCAATGACTGGCATGTTGCACCTGGTGGGCACTGCAATGACTGGCATGTTGCACCTGGTGGGCACTGCAATGACTGGCATGTTGCACCTGGTGGGCACTGCAATGACTGGCATGTTGCACCTGGTGGGCACTGCAATGACTGGCATGTTGCACCTGGTGGGCACTGCAATGACTGGCATGTTGCACCTGGTGGGCACTGCAATGACTGGCATGTTGCACCTGGTGGGCACTGCAATGACTGGCATGTTGCACCTGGTGGGCACTGCAATGACTGGCATGTTGCACCTGGTGGGCACTGCAATGACTGGCATGTTGCACCTGGTGGGCACTGCAATGACTGGCATGTTGCACCTGGTGGGCACTGCAATGACTGGCATGTTGCACCTGGTGGGCACTGCAATGACTGGCATGTTGCACCTGGTGGGCACTGCAATGACTGGCATGTTGCACCTGGTGGGCACTGCAATGACTGGCATGTTGCACCTGGTGGGCACTGCAATGACTGGCATGTTGCACCTGGTGGGCACTGCAATGACTGGCATGTTGCACCTGGTGGGCACTGCAATGACTGGCATGTTGCACCTGGTGGGCACTGCAATGACTGGCATGTTGCACCTGGTGGGCACTGCAATGACTGGCATGTTGCACCTGGTGGGCACTGCAATGACTGGCATGTTGCACCTGGTGGGCACTGCAATGACTGGCATGTTGCACCTGGTGGGCACTGCAATGACTGGCATGTTGCACCTGGTGGGCACTGCAATGACTGGCATGTTGCACCTGGTGGGCACTGCAATGACTGGCATGTTGCACCTGGTGGGCACTGCAATGACTGGCATGTTGCACCTGGTGGGCACTGCAATGACTGGCATGTTGCACCTGGTGGGCACTGCAATGACTGGCATGTTGCACCTGGTGGGCACTGCAATGACTGGCATGTTGCACCTGGTGGGCACTGCAATGACTGGCATGTTGCACCTGGTGGGCACTGCAATGACTGGCATGTTGCACCTGGTGGGCACTGCAATGACTGGCATGTTGCACCTGGTGGGCACTGCAATGACTGGCATGTTGCACCTGGTGGGCACTGCAATGACTGGCATGTTGCACCTGGTGGGCACTGCAATGACTGGCATGTTGCACCTGGTGGGCACTGCAATGACTGGCATGTTGCACCTGGTGGGCACTGCAATGACTGGCATGTTGCACCTGGTGGGCACTGCAATGACTGGCATGTTGCACCTGGTGGGCACTGCAATGACTGGCATGTTGCACCTGGTGGGCACTGCAATGACTGGCATGTTGCACCTGGTGGGCACTGCAATGACTGGCATGTTGCACCTGGTGGGCACTGCAATGACTGGCATGTTGCACCTGGTGGGCACTGCAATGACTGGCATGTTGCACCTGGTGGGCACTGCAATGACTGGCATGTTGCACCTGGTGGGCACTGCAATGACTGGCATGTTGCACCTGGTGGGCACTGCAATGACTGGCATGTTGCACCTGGTGGGCACTGCAATGACTGGCATGTTGCACCTGGTGGGCACTGCAATGACTGGCATGTTGCACCTGGTGGGCACTGCAATGACTGGCATGTTGCACCTGGTGGGCACTGCAATGACTGGCATGTTGCACCTGGTGGGCACTGCAATGACTGGCATGTTGCACCTGGTGGGCACTGCAATGACTGGCATGTTGCACCTGGTGGGCACTGCAATGACTGGCATGTTGCACCTGGTGGGCACTGCAATGACTGGCATGTTGCACCTGGTGGGCACTGCAATGACTGGCATGTTGCACCTGGTGGGCACTGCAATGACTGGCATGTTGCACCTGGTGGGCACTGCAATGACTGGCATGTTGCACCTGGTGGGCACTGCAATGACTGGCATGTTGCACCTGGTGGGCACTGCAATGACTGGCATGTTGCACCTGGTGGGCACTGCAATGACTGGCATGTTGCACCTGGTGGGCACTGCAATGACTGGCATGTTGCACCTGGTGGGCACTGCAATGACTGGCATGTTGCACCTGGTGGGCACTGCAATGACTGGCATGTTGCACCTGGTGGGCACTGCAATGACTGGCATGTTGCACCTGGTGGGCACTGCAATGACTGGCATGTTGCACCTGGTGGGCACTGCAATGACTGGCATGTTGCACCTGGTGGGCACTGCAATGACTGGCATGTTGCACCTGGTGGGCACTGCAATGACTGGCATGTTGCACCTGGTGGGCACTGCAATGACTGGCATGTTGCACCTGGTGGGCACTGCAATGACTGGCATGTTGCACCTGGTGGGCACTGCAATGACTGGCATGTTGCACCTGGTGGGCACTGCAATGACTGGCATGTTGCACCTGGTGGGCACTGCAATGACTGGCATGTTGCACCTGGTGGGCACTGCAATGACTGGCATGTTGCACCTGGTGGGCACTGCAATGACTGGCATGTTGCACCTGGTGGGCACTGCAATGACTGGCATGTTGCACCTGGTGGGCACTGCAATGACTGGCATGTTGCACCTGGTGGGCACTGCAATGACTGGCATGTTGCACCTGGTGGGCACTGCAATGACTGGCATGTTGCACCTGGTGGGCACTGCAATGACTGGCATGTTGCACCTGGTGGGCACTGCAATGACTGGCATGTTGCACCTGGTGGGCACTGCAATGACTGGCATGTTGCACCTGGTGGGCACTGCAATGACTGGCATGTTGCACCTGGTGGGCACTGCAATGACTGGCATGTTGCACCTGGTGGGCACTGCAATGACTGGCATGTTGCACCTGGTGGGCACTGCAATGACTGGCATGTTGCACCTGGTGGGCACTGCAATGACTGGCATGTTGCACCTGGTGGGCACTGCAATGACTGGCATGTTGCACCTGGTGGGCACTGCAATGACTGGCATGTTGCACCTGGTGGGCACTGCAATGACTGGCATGTTGCACCTGGTGGGCACTGCAATGACTGGCATGTTGCACCTGGTGGGCACTGCAATGACTGGCATGTTGCACCTGGTGGGCACTGCAATGACTGGCATGTTGCACCTGGTGGGCACTGCAATGACTGGCATGTTGCACCTGGTGGGCACTGCAATGACTGGCATGTTGCACCTGGTGGGCACTGCAATGACTGGCATGTTGCACCTGGTGGGCACTGCAATGACTGGCATGTTGCACCTGGTGGGCACTGCAATGACTGGCATGTTGCACCTGGTGGGCACTGCAATGACTGGCATGTTGCACCTGGTGGGCACTGCAATGACTGGCATGTTGCACCTGGTGGGCACTGCAATGACTGGCATGTTGCACCTGGTGGGCACTGCAATGACTGGCATGTTGCACCTGGTGGGCACTGCAATGACTGGCATGTTGCACCTGGTGGGCACTGCAATGACTGGCATGTTGCACCTGGTGGGCACTGCAATGACTGGCATGTTGCACCTGGTGGGCACTGCAATGACTGGCATGTTGCACCTGGTGGGCACTGCAATGACTGGCATGTTGCACCTGGTGGGCACTGCAATGACTGGCATGTTGCACCTGGTGGGCACTGCAATGACTGGCATGTTGCACCTGGTGGGCACTGCAATGACTGGCATGTTGCACCTGGTGGGCACTGCAATGACTGGCATGTTGCACCTGGTGGGCACTGCAATGACTGGCATGTTGCACCTGGTGGGCACTGCAATGACTGGCATGTTGCACCTGGTGGGCACTGCAATGACTGGCATGTTGCACCTGGTGGGCACTGCAATGACTGGCATGTTGCACCTGGTGGGCACTGCAATGACTGGCATGTTGCACCTGGTGGGCACTGCAATGACTGGCATGTTGCACCTGGTGGGCACTGCAATGACTGGCATGTTGCACCTGGTGGGCACTGCAATGACTGGCATGTTGCACCTGGTGGGCACTGCAATGACTGGCATGTTGCACCTGGTGGGCACTGCAATGACTGGCATGTTGCACCTGGTGGGCACTGCAATGACTGGCATGTTGCACCTGGTGGGCACTGCAATGACTGGCATGTTGCACCTGGTGGGCACTGCAATGACTGGCATGTTGCACCTGGTGGGCACTGCAATGACTGGCATGTTGCACCTGGTGGGCACTGCAATGACTGGCATGTTGCACCTGGTGGGCACTGCAATGACTGGCATGTTGCACCTGGTGGGCACTGCAATGACTGGCATGTTGCACCTGGTGGGCACTGCAATGACTGGCATGTTGCACCTGGTGGGCACTGCAATGACTGGCATGTTGCACCTGGTGGGCACTGCAATGACTGGCATGTTGCACCTGGTGGGCACTGCAATGACTGGCATGTTGCACCTGGTGGGCACTGCAATGACTGGCATGTTGCACCTGGTGGGCACTGCAATGACTGGCATGTTGCACCTGGTGGGCACTGCAATGACTGGCATGTTGCACCTGGTGGGCACTGCAATGACTGGCATGTTGCACCTGGTGGGCACTGCAATGACTGGCATGTTGCACCTGGTGGGCACTGCAATGACTGGCATGTTGCACCTGGTGGGCACTGCAATGACTGGCATGTTGCACCTGGTGGGCACTGCAATGACTGGCATGTTGCACCTGGTGGGCACTGCAATGACTGGCATGTTGCACCTGGTGGGCACTGCAATGACTGGCATGTTGCACCTGGTGGGCACTGCAATGACTGGCATGTTGCACCTGGTGGGCACTGCAATGACTGGCATGTTGCACCTGGTGGGCACTGCAATGACTGGCATGTTGCACCTGGTGGGCACTGCAATGACTGGCATGTTGCACCTGGTGGGCACTGCAATGACTGGCATGTTGCACCTGGTGGGCACTGCAATGACTGGCATGTTGCACCTGGTGGGCACTGCAATGACTGGCATGTTGCACCTGGTGGGCACTGCAATGACTGGCATGTTGCACCTGGTGGGCACTGCAATGACTGGCATGTTGCACCTGGTGGGCACTGCAATGACTGGCATGTTGCACCTGGTGGGCACTGCAATGACTGGCATGTTGCACCTGGTGGGCACTGCAATGACTGGCATGTTGCACCTGGTGGGCACTGCAATGACTGGCATGTTGCACCTGGTGGGCACTGCAATGACTGGCATGTTGCACCTGGTGGGCACTGCAATGACTGGCATGTTGCACCTGGTGGGCACTGCAATGACTGGCATGTTGCACCTGGTGGGCACTGCAATGACTGGCATGTTGCACCTGGTGGGCACTGCAATGACTGGCATGTTGCACCTGGTGGGCACTGCAATGACTGGCATGTTGCACCTGGTGGGCACTGCAATGACTGGCATGTTGCACCTGGTGGGCACTGCAATGACTGGCATGTTGCACCTGGTGGGCACTGCAATGACTGGCATGTTGCACCTGGTGGGCACTGCAATGACTGGCATGTTGCACCTGGTGGGCACTGCAATGACTGGCATGTTGCACCTGGTGGGCACTGCAATGACTGGCATGTTGCACCTGGTGGGCACTGCAATGACTGGCATGTTGCACCTGGTGGGCACTGCAATGACTGGCATGTTGCACCTGGTGGGCACTGCAATGACTGGCATGTTGCACCTGGTGGGCACTGCAATGACTGGCATGTTGCACCTGGTGGGCACTGCAATGACTGGCATGTTGCACCTGGTGGGCACTGCAATGACTGGCATGTTGCACCTGGTGGGCACTGCAATGACTGGCATGTTGCACCTGGTGGGCACTGCAATGACTGGCATGTTGCACCTGGTGGGCACTGCAATGACTGGCATGTTGCACCTGGTGGGCACTGCAATGACTGGCATGTTGCACCTGGTGGGCACTGCAATGACTGGCATGTTGCACCTGGTGGGCACTGCAATGACTGGCATGTTGCACCTGGTGGGCACTGCAATGACTGGCATGTTGCACCTGGTGGGCACTGCAATGACTGGCATGTTGCACCTGGTGGGCACTGCAATGACTGGCATGTTGCACCTGGTGGGCACTGCAATGACTGGCATGTTGCACCTGGTGGGCACTGCAATGACTGGCATGTTGCACCTGGTGGGCACTGCAATGACTGGCATGTTGCACCTGGTGGGCACTGCAATGACTGGCATGTTGCACCTGGTGGGCACTGCAATGACTGGCATGTTGCACCTGGTGGGCACTGCAATGACTGGCATGTTGCACCTGGTGGGCACTGCAATGACTGGCATGTTGCACCTGGTGGGCACTGCAATGACTGGCATGTTGCACCTGGTGGGCACTGCAATGACTGGCATGTTGCACCTGGTGGGCACTGCAATGACTGGCATGTTGCACCTGGTGGGCACTGCAATGACTGGCATGTTGCACCTGGTGGGCACTGCAATGACTGGCATGTTGCACCTGGTGGGCACTGCAATGACTGGCATGTTGCACCTGGTGGGCACTGCAATGACTGGCATGTTGCACCTGGTGGGCACTGCAATGACTGGCATGTTGCACCTGGTGGGCACTGCAATGACTGGCATGTTGCACCTGGTGGGCACTGCAATGACTGGCATGTTGCACCTGGTGGGCACTGCAATGACTGGCATGTTGCACCTGGTGGGCACTGCAATGACTGGCATGTTGCACCTGGTGGGCACTGCAATGACTGGCATGTTGCACCTGGTGGGCACTGCAATGACTGGCATGTTGCACCTGGTGGGCACTGCAATGACTGGCATGTTGCACCTGGTGGGCACTGCAATGACTGGCATGTTGCACCTGGTGGGCACTGCAATGACTGGCATGTTGCACCTGGTGGGCACTGCAATGACTGGCATGTTGCACCTGGTGGGCACTGCAATGACTGGCATGTCGCAGTGCAATGACTGGCATGTCGCACCTGGTGGGCACTGCAATGACTGGCATGTTGCACCTGGTGGGCACTGCAATGACTGGCATGTCCACCTGCACTGCAATGCATGTTCCTGCATGGGCATGTGCACCCAGCATGCTTGTTGGGGAGCATGCATGGGGTGTTCATGCATGGGGTGTTCATGCATGGGGTGTTCATGCATGGGGTGTTCATGCATGCGCATGGGCAGGAGGTAAAGCGACAAACAGGAAGAAACAGTCTGTACCGCGGCAGGCAGGGCCGAGTGAGGCCATGGATGAAGGTGGGAGTGCGTATGGCATGGCAGCGCATGGCAGGAAGCATATAACCACAGAATCTGATAGGCATAGAGCAGAGCAGCACAGAATCTGATAGGCATAGAGCAGAGCAGCACAGAATCTGATAGGCATAGAGCAGAGCAGCACAGAATCTGATAGGCATAGAGCAGAGCAGCACAGAATCTGATAGGCATAGAGCAGAGCAGCACAGAATCTGATAGGCATAGAGCAGAGCAGCACAGAATCTGATAGGCATAGAGCAGAGCAGCACAGAATCTGATAGGCATAGAGCAGAGCAGCACAGAATCTGATAGGCATAGAGCAGAGCAGCACAGAATCTGATAGGCATAGAGCAGAGCAGCACAGAATCTGATAGGCATAGAGCAGAGCAGCACAGAATCTGATAGGCATAGAGCAGAGCAGCACAGAATCTGATAGGCATAGAGCAGAGCAGCACAGAATCTGATAGGCATAGAGCAGAGCAGCAGAGAGCAGCAGAGAGCAGCAGAGAGCAGCAGAGAGCAGCAGAGAGCAGCAGAGAGCAGCAGAGAGCAGCACAGAGCACCAGAGGGCAGCAGAGGGCAGCAAAGAGCAGCAGAGAGCGGCAGGGAGCAGCAGAGCGCAGCACAGAGCAGAGGCGGTGCGTGCATGACATGCCTGGGTGATGACATGCCTGGGTGATGACATGCCTGGGTGATGACATGCCTGGGTGATGACATGCCTGGGTGATGACATGCCTGGGTGATGACATGCCTGGGTGATGACATGCCTGGGTGATGACATGCCTGGGTGATGACATGCCTGGGTGATGACATGCCTGGGTGATGACATGCCTGGGTGATGACATGCCTGGGTGATGACATGCCTGGGTGATGACATGCCTGGGTGATGACATGCCTGGGTGATGACATGCCTGGGTGATGACATGCCTGGGTGATGACATGCCTGGGTGATGACATGCCTGGGTGATGACATGCCTGGGTGATGACATGCCTGGGTGATGACATGCCTGGGTGATGACATGCCTGGGTGATGACATGCCTGGGTGATGACATGCCTGGGTGATGACATGCCTGGGTGATGACATGCCTGGGTGATGACATGCCTGGGTGATGACATGCCTGGGTGATGACATGCCTGGGTGATGACATGCCTGGGTGATGACATGCCTGGGTGATGACATGCCTGGGTGATGACATGCCTGGGTGATGACATGCCTGGGTGATGACATGCCTGGGTGATGACATGCCTGGGTGATGACATGCCTGGGTGATGACATGCCTGGGTGATGACATGCCTGGGTGATGACATGCTTGGGTGCTGACATGCCTGGGTGCTGACATGCCTGGGTGATGACATGCCTGGGTGATGACATGCCTGGGTGATGACATGCCTGGGTGATGACATGCCTGGGTGATGACATGCCTGGGTGATGACATGCCTGGGTGATGACATGCCTGGGTGATGACATGCCTGGGTGATGACATGCCTGGGTGATGACATGCCTGGGTGATGACATGCCTGGGTGATGACATGCCTGGGTGATGACATGCCTGGGTGATGACATGCCTGGGTGATGACATGCCTGGGTGATGACATGCCTGGGTGATGACATGCCTGGGTGATGACATGCCTGGGTGATGACATGCCTGGGTGATGACATGCCTGGGTGATGACATGCCTGGGTGATGACATGCCTGGGTGATGACATGCCTGGGTGATGACATGCCTGGGTGATGACATGCCTGGGTGATGACATGCCTGGGTGATGACATGCCTGGGTGATGACATGCCTGGGTGATGACATGCCTGGGTGATGACATGCCTGGGTGATGACATGCCTGGGTGATGACATGCCTGGGTGATGACATGCCTGGGTGATGACATGCCTGGGTGATGACATGCCTGGGTGATGACATGCCTGGGTGATGACATGCCTGGGTGATGACATGCCTGGGTGATGACATGCCTGGGTGATGACATGCCTGGGTGATGACATGCCTGGGTGATGACATGCCTGGGTGATGACATGCCTGGGTGATGACATGCCTGGGTGATGACATGCCTGGGTGATGACATGCCTGGGTGATGACATGCCTGGGTGATGACATGCCTGGGTGATGACATGCCTGGGTGATGACATGCCTGGGTGATGACATGCCTGGGTGATGACATGCCTGGGTGATGACATGCCTGGGTGATGACATGCCTGGGTGATGACATGCCTGGGTGATGACATGCCTGGGTGATGACGCGGTGCAGCCCCGCCACGCCCACATCGGCGATGAGGCCCACCGGCACACCCATGAGCTCCAGAGTCACCCTCGCCTCCTGCACGCACGCATGCATGCCCATGAGGGCAGGCAGGCATGGTGTTGGTGGGCGAGAGAATCAAACAAGAAACACACACTGATTCGGGAGCATGACAGCCCGGTGTATTTCTTACTCCTTCCCACGCTTCACCACTCACCTTCCATTTCTCGTCTCTCCTCTCTTCTGTCTTATCTTCTCTCCTCATTTCTCTCCTCACCACTCTACTCACTCCTGTCCTCGCGTCTCTCCTCAATACTCTCTTGTCTTCGCTTCCTCTCTTCTCCATCACTTCTCCCCACAATCGCCCACCATCGTATGCCCCCTCTCCCACCATCATATGCCCGCTCGTCCTCACTCTCCCACCATCACATGCCCCCTCGCCCTCTCTGTACCCCCATTCCTCCAGGCTCCTCCACGCACCTCACCTCAGCCACGGGAAGGTCAGTGGTGCCGGCAGTCACCACCATCACATGCGCACTCGCCCCCTCTCTCCCACCACCACTGTCACCCACGTTCTCAGCGGCGCTACCAGCACCACTCGCGCCAGCCTCACTCGCCTCTGCGCCTCCTGTGGGCGGCAGGGGCAGTGGCAGGTGCAGCACGCGGGCCAGCGGGTGATAGACGGCGGAGGGCAGCAGCGCACACACCTGGTGGGGGGAAGCACATGAGGGGAGCAGGAGGGGCGCAGGCAACATGTGAGAAGACGCAAATTGCAAAAGATGCAGGACGAGCAGGTGGGTTGGGCAACCGATTGGCTCGAAATAACAGCTGCTGCTGTGAGAGTGGGAGCGTGCTGCAGCGCTGCAGCATGCACGAGCAGGCAGGCAGGGCGCGGAAAGGCAGGCAGGGTGCGGAAAGGCAGGCAGGGCGCGGAAAGGCAGGCAGGGCGCGGAAAGGCAGGCAGGGCGCGGAAAGGCAGGCAGGGCGCGGAAAGGCAGGCAGGGCGCGGAAAGGCAGGCAGGGCGAGGAAAGGCAGGCAGGGCGAGGAAAGGCAGGCAGGGCGCGGAAAGGCAGGCAGGGCGCGGAAAGGCAGGCAGGGCGCGGAAAGGCAGGCAGGGCGCGGAAAGGCAGGCAGGGCGCGGAAAGGCAGGCAGGGCGCGGAAAGGCAGGCAGGGCGCGGAAAGGCAGGCAGGGCGCGGAAAGGCAGGCAGGGCGCGGAAAGGCAGGCAGGGCGCGGAAAGGCAGGCAGGGCGCGGAAAGGCAGGCAGGCCGAGGAAAGGCAGGCAGGGCGCGGAAAGGCAGGCAGGGCGAGGAAAGGCAGGCAGGGCGCGGAAAGGCAGGCAGGGCGAGGAAAGGCAGGCAGGGCGAGGAAAGGCAGGCAGGGCGCGGAAAGGCAGGCAGGAGACATGGTCCAGTGCTTGCACTGCCCTTGCCCGATCGCGGGCAAGGAGGAGAGTTGTGATGTGAAGGGCCTTGAAGCCTCATCGACGCCCACGATGCTGCAATTCGCACTTCAACGCCCACCACCGCACCTAAGCATCCCACCGCACCTAAGCATCCCACTGCACCTGCTGTGCAGCGTCGGCATCAACCCTGGTGGCCATGACAACCCTCTGGCCACCCCCCTGCCCCCCTGTCTGGCTGGCCCTGTCCGCCATGGCCGTGAGGATGGCGGCTATCTGCTGTGGCGTCTTGCCCTGCCCGTACACCACCTGCCGCCAGGGGAAGAGGTGGTGGGGCGTGGGACGAGGGAAGGGTGGAGAAGAGTGTGATGCGGATCCATGAGGAGGTGGGGGGCTGGGGGGAAAGCAGTGAGGGTGTGCGAGAAACAGAGGGGTCGTGCAGATTGGTCGTTACAAGGCCCACGACTGACCCAGGCACCCCCTGACCAGGTACCCCCTGACCAGGTACCCCCTGACCAGGTACCCCCTGACCAGGTACCCCCTGACCAGGTACCCCCTGACCAGGCACCCTCTTAACCGGGCAGCACCTGACCCGCACACCCCCTCACCCGCACACCCCCTCACCCGGACACCCCTCACAGGCATCACCTGACCTCGGGCATCACCTGACCTCGGGCATCACCTGACCTCGGGCATCACCTGACCTCGGGCATCACCTGACCTCGGGCATCACCTGACCTCGGGCATCACCTGACCTCGGGCATCACCTGACCTCGGGCATCACCTGACCTCGGGCATCACCTGACCTCGGGCATCACCTGACCTCGGGCATCACCTGACCTCGGGCATCACCTGACCTCGGGCATCACCTGACCTCGGGCATGCCGGTGCGCGACTGCCTGCCATGGTCGATGCGTGCAAACTGCTCCAGCGGGTCCGCCTCTGCTGCTGCTGTGGTGGGGCGGGGGCAAGCAGAGGGCGCACAAGCAGGGAGATACATCCGTACTAGTTGGCTTGGAGTCACACGCACAGAGTAACGCCTCCTCCTCACGCCACTCCTCACGCCTCTCCTTTTCACGCCACTCCTTCTCACGCCACTCCTTCTCACGCCTCTCCTTCTCACGCCACTCCTTCTCACGCCTCTCCTTCTCACGCCACTCCTTCTCACGCCACTCCTTCTCACGCCACTCCTTCTCACGCCACTCCTTCTCACGCCTCTCCTTCTCACGCCACTCCTTCTCACGCCTCTCCTTCTCACGCCACTCCTTCTCACGCATCTCCTTCTCACGCCTCTACTTCTCACGCCACTCCTTCTCACGCCTCTCCTTCTCACGCCACTCCTTCTCACGCCTCTCCTTTTCACGCCTCTCTGCCTCTCTATTTATCCGCCACTCACTCGCTCTCTCCGCCGCGTCGTCCGCCTGCACGCGCGGCGAGCCCACTCTGCGCGCGCTATTGCGCCTGCCTTGCCCCAAGCGGGCAGCTTTCCAGCGCGCAGTCGCGCACGAAGCGGGCCGCGCCTGCACTCCAGCGGGTTTGCGAGCTCTAGCGCACGACGGCCGGAACGGCGTGGGGGCTGAATGGTCGGCACTGGCGGTGCTTGTCGGACGGCAATAGGCGCCAATGCCGCGTGCCGCTGGGTGGCAGTGAATGGCAACGCATGGCGGCATGTGGTTGCGACGGTGAGACGAGAGAAAGTGGAGGCGGCGGAGGACGGCGATGCGAAAAGCTAGTTAACACGTTCCGCTGGTCCGCCGCACCTTGGTCCGCTACCCGCACGCTAAGTTTCGAGCACTGTTTCAGGATGCAATTGATGGAATTTATGACAGCGGATGGGAGTTCCTCGAACTCAGTAATCGCAACATCCTCTTTCAGGAAATCATAGAGAAATACACAACTTCGATTCTATTCCAAGGAAACCTAATTTGGAAGCATGATGATATCGGGGTTTGACATCCATTTCTCGAGTCGCAATTGCAAACGAGGACAGCGCATTGCCATGAAATTTTCGCGCCACATTTCTTCCCACATTTGCAATCGATGCGATTCGGCTGTCTAGCAGGCCAAAGCAATGCTGGCAACTTGGCATCACAGCAGAGGCAGGCTGGCAGCAAAGCAGGCCAAGCCGAGCACCACTCACAAACAACGAGGTTTCCCTCCGCACGAGATTGCCTCCTTTCAGTCAACCACCAACAGCTAACTACTTGATGTGTGCATGCTCCTGTCGATAACCTAGTGTGCTAAAACTTGTCCGAAACGAGCTTACGAATGCATGATGGCACGCCGCCTCTCGTCTCTCGTTCCATCGCCCTTGCCGCCACCTCTGACCCAACCTCACCGACCTCCTCATCCCTCGCACCATCCCCCACACACCCAATCGCCCTCGAAACCACCCTCGCTGCAACCCCCCCTGGCCGGGCAACCACCGCCGCCGACCCAATCTCCCTCGACGCCAGCGCTGCCGCCCACCGTGCCGTCCAGCGTGCCGCCCAGCGTGTCGGCGCCTACAAGCTACGGCGGTGTGGACGTGGCGGGGTTGGTGCCGTTCATCGCGGGCACGGCGGCATGCATGCTCGCGTTCTTCGCCGTCGGCCTCCTCGTCTCGCTCCTGCTGCGCTGCCCCCGCCTCCTCGCCTCCATCCTCCCTAGTAGCCTCCTCGTTATTCTCGTCCACGACGCGGACCTCCCCGATGGGCTTGGGGGCGGTCGCACGCCGACGTCGCACAGCGACGAGAAGAGTCGCGGGCTAGATCCTGCGACGTTGGCGACATTCCCCGTGGTGACCTTTCGAGGGCTCGCGGGGGGCAGCAGCAGCGGAAGGGCCGGCGTCGGTTGCAAGGGGGAGTGCGGCAAGGATGGGCGCGGCAGCAGCGCTGCGAGCTATCAGCCCGTGCGGTACGCGCTGTCGTGGGGCGAAGCGCCTGCGGGTTGCCTTAGCGAAAACCAAACGCTCGTTAACTCGGTTAGTGGTCTCACAAAGAACGGGCTGGCGGGAAAAGCGGAACGACGCGAGGGATCCTTACGGGTAGAGTCACCAGTGGAACAAAAGGAAGACGCCGCAGCGGGCACAGGCGCTGAGGGGCGGGGAGGGGAAGGGGGTATGCAACGAGGGGGTGGGGCGCGTGGAGGGCTGCTGGGCACGGAGAGGACGGTAATGCCGACGGGAGGACCGGAAAGGACGGAGACGACGGTGCCTGGCGTGGCAGGCGGGGAAGGAACAGAGAGCAGCGCAGAGTGCGACGAGCGGGGTGCGACGGCGTGCGACGAGGGGTGTGCGACGGAGTGCGACGAGGTTGGTGCGACGGAGTGCGCGGTGTGCCTGAGCGACTTCGCGGACGGCGAGCAGCTCCGGTGCCTGCTGCCATGCGCGCATCGCTTCCACGTGGCGTGTATCGATTGCTGGCTGCTCTCGCACACCACCTGCCCCGTGTGCCGCACGGCGCTAGAGCCGCGCAAAGATGACGTGGCACTGGAAACTGGCTGAGGCGCTTAGCATAGCCCTCAAAGAACTGAATCTGAAGCGCGCGCCATCGCGCATGCCATGTGGTGCGCGCAGCAGTGCAGCAGAGGCGCACGTGACGTGCTGTGGCTCGTTGTGGGAGCAGCAGACTTGGCCAGGGAAGAATCAGACGGCTTTTTCCCTTCACCACAGAGCTGCTGCTGATGAGAGGCCCCCCTAAGCCGGCCAGGGGTGTGCGACCAGGGGTGTGCGACCAGGGGTGTGCGACCAGGTGTGTGCGACCATGGGTGTGCGACCAGGGGTGTCCGACCACGAGTGTGCGACCATGGGTGTGCGACAAGGGTGTGCGACCACGGGTGTGCGACGGGGGGACGGAAGCAGGCATGTGCGAGCAGAGGGCGTGAGGAAGGCAGATGCTGGAGTGGCTGTCCCTCCCCGCTGTCGGCTGGTGTGCAATCAGGGCGGTGACAGTTGACGTCATGGGGAGCCATTCGCTGGCAGGTCACGTCATGGGGAGCCATTCGCGGGCAGGTCACGTCATGGGGAGCCATACGCTGGCAGGTGACGTCATGGGAAGCCATACGCTGAAATGGCAAATGCGCTTCCTATGCTGTCAACTGCCACTGCCCTGGTTGCATCGTGCATGTGCCGTGTGTCTGAGGCGCGTCACGGCAGGGGCCATGCTGCACGCACGGATACATGGACACATGGGGATATGGGCACACGGACACATGGGCACATTGGCGCAACAATTGCGGGCTGCACTGTGGACAGGCGCAAGGTGTGATGCAGCAAGAGCGCTGCACCACGTGCCCGTGCGTTCCTGATGGGACTGGATATATCAGCGGCTTTAAGCTCCTCATAGCATTTTCACGAAGGCAGCACACCGTTGCATTTTGCATTCAACAAGCACACATGCTGCTCAATTGCATTCTTCGCACCTCCTTCATGATTTGCAATACACCATATCACAAACCATCTCCCTGCCAGGGCCCAAGATTGGGTTTGGCCCACCCTGACTAATCAGGGTTTCAGGCCAGCTCTACCCTGACTCATAGGGATTTTTTTTTCATACCCTGCCAAAAACAGCCTAAAAATGTCAAATATGTTAGACTGTAGTGAGGTGTGTAATATGAGGTACAACCTTTAGGGTTAGGCATATGTACCCCAACCAACTCTAATGCCACACTTTTTCCCACTTTGAAATGGTATCAGCTAGGTTAGACTAGGATCCCCACTTGTCGTGCCCGTTGCGCCTGTAGCGCCCGTTGCGCCCCGCTCGTAGTGCCCGTTGCGCCCTGCCCGTGGCGCCCGTTGCGCCCTGCCCGTTGCGCCCGGCCCGTAGCGCCCGTAGCGACCTGCCTGTCGCGCCCGTAACGCCCTGCCCATCGCGCCCTGTGCCCTGCCCGTCGCGCCTGCACTCTGCCCGTCGCGCCTACCCCCTGCCCATTGACGCCCTGCGCGTCCGCGCCTGCGCCCTATTCGTAGCGCCCTGCGCCCTGCCCATCGCGCCCTGCGCCCTGCCCGTCGCGCCATGCCCGTCGCGCCCTGCGTCCTGCCCGTCACACCCTGCGCCGCCCTGCCCGTCGCGCCCTGCCCTGCGCCGCCCTGCGCCCTGCCCTGCGCCTTGCCCTGCGCCTCCCTGCGCCCTGCCCTGCGCCGCTCTGCCCGTCGCGCCCTGCGCCCTACCCTGCGCCCTGCGCCCTGCCCTGCGCTGCGCCCTGCTCCTTGCCCGTTACGTCCTGCCCGTCGTGCTCTGCGTCCTTCCGCCCATGCCGTGCGCAGCCTGCCCGCCCTGCTCAGGCCTTCTCGGCGGCTGGCAGCCGCATCTCCCCCCTATCTAGTCAGCTATGGTGTCCCCCCGAGTTCTTCGTTTTGATGCTGAGGGTGGACCGCTAGATTTCCCCGTCTGACTTCTTCGTGCTCAGCGTCAGCTAGAGAGCCAGTGTCAGGCAAACGAGACCCTCTGGGCACACACTTCCGGCGAACTCCCTGCGCCCCCCACCCCAGCTGCACTAGGCGCTGACGCCACTGACGAAGACATGGAGCGTTTTAAACGTGAGCGAGCTGACCTCACTACTTGGAAGTTATGCGACCGCAGCGGCCTGCATCGCCCTCAGCAGCTTTCTCCCTGAGTCTGAGGAGGCGCACTTTGCTCAGGTTCGCCCTGCTAGCGAGTTCCTCACTGCGATTAAGGCCCGCTACTCCACTCCCACCACTGTCTCACTTGGTCGCCTATTCCTCCCGTTCCTGTTCCTGACCTCGCTTCCTTTGAGCGCTCTGCTGACTTGATCACTCACCTGCATTCGCTAGACTCCAGCTATCGTGTTGCCTCTACCGACGCCCAGCTCGCACTGCTTCCCCTGTGGCGATCACTAATTATTTTATCGTTATTAGCCTCCCTGACCGCCTTGCCTCTGTTCGCGACCCGCTTCTCTTGAAGCACCCTAGCAAGCTCACGATCAGCGTCCTTGAGTCTGCGCTCAAGGACGTCGAGAGCAACCTCCGCTCGGTAGCCTCCGCCTCTGGCGCTGTGCCCCCTCCAGTGTTTTAGGGGTGAATTGTCCCACAGCTGCCCACCTTCACTGACTCCCTAGCCTCTACTGCGGTTGCCGAGACTGCGGCCGCTGCTGCGACCTCTACCAGGTCTAGGGGCAAGGGGGGCAAGAGGGGCGGCAAGGGGGCCACCCGTGGCGGAGGCGGCGGAGGTGGGGCGGCCAGCGGTGGTCGAGGGAGTGGAGGAGCTGGTGACGAGCCTAGCGTCCCCACCAGTGACAAACCTATTGTGGCTAGTGGGTGTGACACTCGGGGTTGTCGGGGACCTGCAGGGCCACCGGCTGGAGGTCCGGGCGTGGCAGCCTGGTACCGGGGTCAGCGGCAGCAGCGACAGCAGCCGCAACAGGAGCAGCAGCAGCGCAAAGGTCAGCGTCAGCCGTCGCGTTCCCCTACCCCCCCTGCCCGTACATCGTTCAGAGCGGTACCCCCGTTGTGATCGCCTTCACCCGCCGGGTCAGTGTTTTGCCCAGCTCACTGACCGTGTTCGTGCGGAGTATGGTGCAAGCGGCCCTGCCCCTGACTAGCTCCCTCTTGTGGGACATGTCTGCATCTCAGTTGCTTGATCTGTTAGGATCTTTGCATGCTATGTATGCTGATGTTGACTGTAGTACCCCTGGATCTGTTTGCTCGTGTGCTCATAGCTTAGGTGCTAGTGTTGATCCTGTGCCAGTTGCTAGTGTAGGTACTTGCGATTTTAGGTGCTAGTCCAAAAGCCACTTTAGCAGACACGTCGCTGTCTTTCACGCTGGACTCTGGTGCGTCGGAGTGTTTCTTTGCGACCACACGACTCTTACTCCGCTTCCTGCACCGGTCTCTATAGCACTGGCTAATCTCACTTCGGGACCAATCATTGCTCACCACTCAGCTACTCTACTGTGTCCGGCTGCTCCCTCAGGTTTCCTGACTGGGCTCCACGTCCCCTCGTTCTCCAGGAACTTGGTGGGTGTGCGCCCTCTAGCGCGTCAGCACGTTGGTGTCTGGTTTGAGCCTTCTGGGGAGTCTCCAACCAGTGTGGACGGGAACACGTACGCCCCCCTGGCCACCTTTGGCCAGGAGCCAGGCCCCGACCTTTACACGCTCCACACTTACCCCCGTCAGGTCTCTGCGTCTCGCCAGGTAGCTGCGTCTGGTCAGGTTCCGGCGTCCGGTCAGGTTGTTGTGTCATGCTCGTGTCGGTCGCTTGCCCACCCCACCGTCCTGTGACACCACCGTCTTGGTCACCCGTCCCTCCCTCGTCTCCGCGCTATGTCCAGTCAGCGTCTTGTCTTAGGCCTCCCGCGAGTCTTGCCGTCGCTGCCGCCTTCGCTTGCACCACCGTGCGGCCCTTACGCCGAGGGTCGGCTACGCGCCACCCCTCACTCCTCCTCCCTTCTTCTAGCCACCACCCCCTTCGAGACTCTCCACTTGGACGTCTGGGGCCCCGCCCCTCGCCCTGGTCCTGAGCAAGAGAGTTTCTTTCTGGTGGTCATTGACGACTACTCTCACTACACCACCGTTTTCCCTTTGGCGAAGAAGTCTGACGTCACTTCTACGCGGATCCGGTGGTTGCTCACCACAGGGGGTACTCGTCACCGTCGTGTTAGTTGTCTTCACACTGACCGCGGGGGTGAGTTTTGCTCCGGCATTCTCGCTGGATTCTGTCGCGAGCAGGGCATCCGTCAGTCCTGGACGCTTCCAGAGTCCCCGCAGCAGAATGGGGTTGCTGAGTGCCGCATAGGCTTGGTCATGGAGATCGCCCACACCTCCATCACTCACGCTCGTGCCCCCCATTTTCTGTGGCCCTACGCTGTTTGGTACGCTGCGCACCAGCTGAACCTCTGGCCACATGTTCTCGGCCAGGGGTTACACCGACCAGTCTTTGGACCGGGTCCCCTGGTGTTGCGTCGCACTTTCGTGTCTGGGGCCGCTTGGTGCTTGTTTGCGACACCTCCGTGGACAAGCTCTCGCCTCGCGCCCTTCCCTGTGTCTTCCTTGGTTTCCCAGAGGACTCCTCTGACTTCACCTTTTACCACCCTCCCTTTCACCAGTTCTTTGACTCTCGCGACGTCCGTTTTGACGAGTCAGTCCCCTACTACACCCGTTACACTTGTCAAGGTCTCCCGGTTCCCCTCCCTCCCCTCTGCCTGGCTCCCGCTCCCCCTCATGCCCCTGCTCCTCCGGTACACCCTCCCCCCCTTGTTCCGGCGCCGTTTGGTGTGTCGCACGCTACCCCTCCTCCCTCGGTAGCTCCTCAGGTTCCCCCCCCTTCTCCGCAGTCGTCCTCACAGTCGTCGCAGCAGCCGTCAATGCTTCCACCACAGGCTACTGCGGACTCTGAGGGTGTTGGTGTTAGAGGTGAGGGCCCTAGAGGTGCTAGCTCTAGGGGTGTTGGAGTTGGAGCTGAGCGTGCGCCTACCGAAGGGACCGGTTTTGGGGGTGCTGGGGTTGGTGAGGCTCTCCCTGGAGGTGCTACGCCTAGGGGTGCGGGT